CTAAGTGGATCCAAAGATGGATTAAGCTTCAATAGAATGATTTTAGATAATGCATTTTCTGGAGTATCTTTAAAGGCAACGCGTTTTCGCTTACGGCCAGATTGATCAGGAGTGAATATTCACGCAGACAGATCAGACTCTTGAACTTTTGTCCTCATTCTTCGATGAGGCTCCAGGGGTGTGTTAGCAATAACGCACGATATGTGAAAAATTCAGTTTAATCGTACAATGTTAAGATATTATTTTTAGTAATAAATTCTAGTTAGTATAGCCCTCTGTGCTTTATCTGGGACCAAACTGATTCGTGTTTTTGTTTTATTTATGAACCTACCTATTCTTACCGTTTCCCACCATCTACACATCACTAATCGTAATATATGAGTGCACCTATAAAGCTTTGGTCTCTACGTGCTGTTATATACGTGCTGTTTGATAACAACGCATATATTTGGCCCCGATGTACACAAATACTTAAACGTTTTGTAGCTTTATTTAACAGTCTTTTCATCAGCACTTAGCAAGTAATTATCCGTTTGACGCGTTCTTCTTTTAGCGTTGCATGGCAAGTTTCCAGTCTGTCCAATGAAACCTTGTTTAAATGATAGTTGCAGATCTTCGGTCGTTTTGGTTGACCTCTGTTTCAGATCGTTCAGTCACAGCAACAAAACATCACTCAATGGTATTGCATCTTATCGATCAATGGTACTGCATTGCACGTCGAACGACTAATATAATTCTAGGTATTACGCCGTTCGTCGATATGCCCGTCCTATCTCGTTTAGCTAATCCTTCTCTCTCTTAGCCCGATCTACATTTATTGAGCAACGTTCAGTTAAGCAAAATGCACCAACGGTTTTCAGGGCGGTCTCATATGAATATTTTATAGTGTTCTAATATGAATGCTGCACGAACGCATAAGGTTATCGATTCGGTGCTACTTCAATTTCAACAAGAATTTTTGTCGTGTCTGTAAAAGTATTCCTATACCTCTACATGTCGCTTGCATTTGTACACGATGGTCGACAGCAAAGACCGTAAACTAGTCCTTTATACGAACACATTTTATTTTAAAATGATTAGAATCAAATTAGCGACACTTGGCTGTGTTCGTTTCGTTTATAAAGCAAGATACAAAAAATTAGCTTCCAGCTATTACCCATCTAAGCACATACGACCGTCAAAGGCAAACTGAATTTGTTCATTTGCTTGGAGCTCAAGAATAATGATTATTTTTAAGTGGAATGATTTCAACGCATGGAAAGACTGAAGAGCCTAAAAAAGGTTAGTATATCCTTTGTTTCAGGTTACTTTGAGTAGAATGATGTTATTCTTAAACGTAATTAAGATACTCATCGTATGAGTACCTTATAATACGCTTAGGGACGACGTCTAAGTGGGCGCCTTACCTTTCAAACGAACAATACATACCTTGATATACATTAGAAATGTGAATTTTCTATAAAACACAGCGATATTAAGCTAGGACTTTAGTCCTTTTTACGGTCATCGACTTTTGGTTTTGCAGTGGCTTTTCGACGTAGAAACAATAAGTTACTCTAGCTTTTACGATACAAAGCAACAAACGCACTTATTATTTAGAAACTTAGGTTTAGCTGTAAGTGTCTATCTATAAGAAACAGTTGAGGGAAGTGTTCATTAGTTTTCTAGATTTTTCGTTATTCTTATAACTAATTATACGGCATTTACACTGTGATAATAAACTACCCTTATTCAAAATCGCGCGGCTTTGAACGTTCATAGCCTCTGGACTGAGACGGTGCATTCTCAGTACAACTTAAAAGTATCCTTTCTGGTTATTTATGTACCAACGAAGCCAACTGTCTGAAGGCCACACATATATATATATATATAAAATGGCATATCCTATTTCGCTATTTATTGTTAACTGTAGGTTGCAAATTGACCTTCGTTATGCATGGAAGCGACTAAAATTAAAAACCAGTCATGTACGATTACGCGTCATCGTATCCGGACACTTGATCCAGGCGGCAATTGTCTCACAATCAAATAGTCACCCTTGCAGGACACACCGCTGTTCCATTCCTTCATATATCTCCTTAAAAAAATATATAGATATCAAGGAAGGTCGATTTGTTATAATCACCTAGTATTTTACCATAAAACATTTTTTCGACATCTATGGCAACCACCATGGCTTCATGGGGTTTTATCTATCGGTCAAGAACGCTGAAGTAAGTATCTCAAGGATGCAAAACACAGTTGGTGAGGCTCTTTTTAGATGAAGGCCAGCGCCTTCTTTATTAATAGTAGCGGAAACATTTATCTGTATAGTGTGTCAGTAGAGTTTATTGTTCAATATAATTTGCATAGAATTAATCATACGACCTTTCGTTGGACTGAGAATGGAATTGTAGAGGTATAATTTTAAGTTCATCCATCCCCACATCCACCTCTTTCGTAATAACTACAGCAGCTTTAATCTGGGAAAGTCTATTTAAATTTTTTTCCCTATCAATATCCCAGCTACAGGCCTATTTTGATTTAGCGTTTCCTCAGATTTCTAGATCGGCTTCTTTGTTCTACTCTATGCCTTTAACATCAATATTTCTCTATAGAACTAATAGGCATAAAGTTATATACACACACTTGGGGCGACATGAGCTAAAGAGTTTCATCAATTTTCGCAGCGAACCACCAGATAACCACCCGCTAATTTTAAATATCAAATAAGCTTCTTACTTCAAAATATTATTCATTAAGCTAAGTTCAATGTGTTTCTTTAAGTTACCTTATTTTTGGAAATGTTGCGAATTACAATTTCAACAAAACAACTTAATAACATAATTACTTACTATTGTAGTAATATTTGCACAACCCAAAGATCGTGAACTGAAACCTTACCTTGGTTGTCTACTTGGGCACATAAATTAGGGAGCATAGTGTCAGTACAGATGCGAGTAAGTACAGCAGCGTAAAAAAGCTCGTGCTAATCCTTTAGATTACATAATTTGATACGAATCGATCAAAACGACCTACAACATCTCGGTTCGGTATCTCATAGAAATTAATAAGTAAAGTAGGTGCCGCGAAGGCGCAGATGCGCTTACGGTGTCCATTGGATGGTCTAGTGCAAGTGTCATCCATAGAAGTTTTTGAGTCCTGGTTAGTCGATTGCGGCCTATGTGTACTCTCAAAGATCCGATCAAAGAAACGATGAATAAGCTATACATTAAACAAACAAGATTATTTAACAGAGCTTAATCACCTTTATTACACGACAACGCAGAACTCGCGGTTCCCACGGATATGATTTTTTCTCAAAATCTAAATCATTTTCTAACAGAGAAAACTGATTAAATTTCAACATGATATCGAAACTGCTTTTTGTTCCTTAGATTTCGTACCCTAGAAAAACAAATAGGTAATATAGCAAAAAAATCATACATAGTAATGGCGCATACTTCCATTGAAAATAATTATGTTTGTAGAAAAGCTAAACAAGCTTGAGCTTACCCTTACGAATTTCATACTAATATACAATAATAATGAGAGTAATATTTTGATAGGCATATCATATACATGAGAATGTTGATCTTTTCAGTATATAGTATGAACAGAAGTAATGCAGTTTTAATAGGAAACTGTTGGTTGTGGTTGACAAAAGTAGCAGGTTTTCATTAAGTAGTAGAATTTGTGAGGGGGTGTTCATCAAAGCCTCGTGGGTTAATACTATAGCTGTGTCTCTGTAGTATGGCCCACGTAGTAGAAGTACTAGTACAAAACAGGGTTTACCAACAGAATCGATTCAAATTGTTAAAATTTACATGCTTGCTCTGATCTGAATACTTCACTTTTGTTGAAGTGAGGCCCATAGCAACTAGCAGAATTCTAACCAAATATAGATAGTTTGAGCCTATTTAGGTTTGTCATACATTAATCGGTGGAACCAAAACCATCACAATCAAAACACACCGCGCGAAGTTCAAATTTTGGACATAGTACAATTTACCTGCTTATACTTCACCATCAATTGCAATCCACCCCGTCGACTCCTTCGTGATCTTGCTAAAGGCTTTATCGTTCTTCGATAAGTTTCAGCGCTCAGAGGCCACAATCGACTTCTCTCTCTTGATTTGCTTCCCTATTAGCTCGCACCTGCACCGGCTAACTCCCTACACGAAGAGGAACACTCTTCGTCAGCAAGCGTTGCAGGACGTTCTTGCAATACATGAGCCACAGAACCCGATCTGCGTTTCAAGCAACTCAACAGTGTGCGGTTCTTCACTTGGGGTGACAAAAACTACTATTGAGATAGGCACCTACTGCAAACACTTGTACCTTGTTTGTAGCACTCTATACGTATGATATATAATAATAGCAACGTATAATATATTTCTTTTTCCCAAATGAATGTGGAGTGTTAAAACCTTGTTAGCTTTTTGACTAAAAGTGGCTAAAGTTTGACTAAAAAGTTTCGAAAATCTTCTTCCGGAAGTTGGACGTATAATAGATCAGCAAGTGTGCGATAGCTTTTGTATGAGTGTCAGCAAGAATAGACTGGAACACTTCCGCGTCAGGTGCCAGCAAATACGATAGATATAACACTGATGAAATTCCATTTCAACAGTTTTCCATTGTCATCAAGTTGCTACATCCTGAACTTTGCAGCAGTTTTTGCATACCGCAACAGATGTCATCAATATCACTAGATAGAGTCGTAAAACGAATTTAGTTATAGTTTAGCTGAAGTGATATATTTCGGTATAACTTATTGTTACCTTGTTTGTGTTTTTCTTTGATTTGATGATACGATGTTATAAACGTTTCTAATATTTAGTAATACGGGTTCCATTCAATGAATTAAACTATCTGACTGTGGTTGCGATCCTTACAAATAACGATAACAACCACTGTAGAAGATACATTGACCGATTTTTATTTCATAGTGCTTTCTATCTCGGTTTGATTTGTTGTTTGTTGAAGGCTATATTTTGGTACAAATTTCATTGGTTCTGGACGGGACTAGGGAAATCGGCAAGACTAGGTGCAGTATTAGGGATGCGTGTGTCAGCCGTTTAGTTAAAGAACAGGTCGCCGACTGCGCGGATAATAGCATCGTGTGGGTGGATAAATAACCAGATGCGATGATGAGCTGGGGTCATTCTGCTTTGTCTTCTTCAAGTGACCCTGACCCATGAAGACGGAGATAATGGTGAGTCACTGCAAACAATGAAGCTTGCTGCTGTCAAAGAGCCAGTACCACTATTGATCTCTGCTAAAGCTTCTGTCCTATCCTCAACTGGCTATCGATGACAACGACTGCTATAGTATAACGTGATATTGCAAAGGAGACTACTTCCATTGTTTGTTACGATGGTCGCAAACAATGCAAATCCTTAGACACAATGTATGGTATGTACAGCTAAGTAGTATACTTGTGCACATGAACGTGACCGGTTCCCGTCACATTGCAGAAAACCAGGCTTCCCTGAGTGTGTATTTTGGTCAAATGCATAGGAAGCAGTTTAATCACAGCTTATCTAATTTCCTTAACATTCATGCCATCAGAACATAAATAAATATATAAGTTACGGTTATTGAGAATAAACGCTGAAGCAGGTATAAACATCTATCTAAAGATTAATCTGTATGGAACCTAGTTTTTTTTTTTTTTTTTTTTTACTTCTCAGTAGAACGTTTTTGTCTCCATCCTTAGGTTAACTTATCGAAGGTGTAATGTCTTGAAACCTTTGACTAACACCAAACACTTTTTAGTCACCAAGGAGTCTGTAAAAAAATTTTGCCAAAAACTCAATTTGAAATAAAGTAAGCCTATTTCATCTAGCCAACTTCAAAACCTATTTCTTAAAGTTGTATTATACCAGCAGTTTGAGCTGATCATCTCTGTTGCGTAAAATTTTGCTTATATGATTTTAACCGTTTATATCCCTTGAAGACGTCGAAATTTGCTCAACAAAGCAGAAGAAGAAGTACATTAATTTATTTTTAGGTATAGATAAGTTTAATAATATTTTACGAGTTAATAGAGGCATTTGTAATTAAGCACTTGTATCGAAGTTTATTTTTAATATTTATTATGAAAAGCTATAATAGTCAGCGTCGTATCCCAAGTAGCGGACATCCGTACATAAAATCTGAGCAATGATTAACACGAATTTAACTACCTCAAATCTAACACTGTCTTACATATTTTTTTCTTACTATCATGAACAGTTATGTCACTGTAAAATCGTGCGTAATTTTATGCTATTGGTACGTTGGATATATATATAGAGCCCCGTGAAGGATAAAATCTACAAGTAAATGTTTGCAACAATCATAAATATTTAGTCCTTCAAATGGTTAAGCTAAATATTCCCTTTAACAAGTTTAAGTTGTAGAAAATAACTGAGTTAACTTAGCTGTTCGAATCCGAGTGAGCTGGTTAGAAGGAATACAAAATTAGGGCCAAAACAGAAAATGGATCTAGACAGAGGGTGACTATCGCAGGCAAGCGTGTAAACGATAAACGAAGAATAGCATCAGCTGGCGGGGGATCGGTGCTGGCTTAATGTATCATAAAAACCAGCCGCAAGCCGCTTGCTTTTTTCGATACAGCGGAAGTAGAGAGCGTATCGAAGCAGTGAAGAGGAGAGAACGTTGTCAGAGGTCGATATAGCCAAACCTCCAGCTCGAAAGTCAAGGTAATTCATAGAGAAAAATGTCTGATGAAGTATCAAAATTCGCATCCGTGTAGTGACTGCTAACCAAACCAGACTGTGAAGTTTAGCCTTATTCTAGCCAAGGTAAAAGTACTTAATTTCTGAGTTCTGATATGACTGACTGGTCGTCCCTATAGTCTGCTATTTTTATCTTGTATATAAATCGTAGTAAAATAGTATATAAATCTTGGATTGAAAATTGTACATGTTAGTTCTTTATCTTAAAATGAATGTCTTTATATAAATGGGAGTCAACTCTAAAAGTGAAAGGCTAAGCCGCTTAACAAGGGAAAGGATTTGCATTATGCTGGAACGAAACAAACATGCTACTCGGTAGTCTTTGGAGGCTTTTATATTAACCGTGCACGACATAGATGCAGAACAGAACCGTACACAAAAGAACATACCGTAAAAATGAAGGTCAACTATTTAAAAATTTCGAAGTGTTATTTGCTCAGAAAACGGAAGAACTCAGTAAAAAAGAAGTGCTACCAGTGTATACTGTAAAGCCAGCAAACTTTTTTCGCTCTATCCAGCTACCGTCGAGCAGTGTTATTAATAACAGTTAAGGTACTTGCTTGTCAAAACATTATTAGTTAGCCCTAGGAATTTCCAGTACACGCCGAGTTTCAGTTAATGTTATGCATATAACGGCTGAGATTTTCCGTAGCTGCTTAACGTATTGTATTCCTTTTTATGAAAACGCGAATATATGGAATGACTAAATCCGAGAGGAGTGGCTTCGCATGCTTACTTTGTTAGTATCGTTCTACTCTCACAGCGTTCATCAAAAAAAACATCACAGTTCATCAAAAATGAAAAAACCGACATATATAGATTTATTTAAGATGCAATACTTGCATGTAAGAAGGATATTATACATAAATATGAAGCAGCAGGGTGACGCGATACATTCAGAGCTTACTTTATATAGTAGGTTTATCATTCACGTTCACCTTGATCTTATTATTTACACCGAAGACTCGTAGTTCAGAACTAATCATGGAAACTCACATATTCTTGCTAGCTGTTTTTTTTTTTTTATGTCCGGTACACAAACTGGGTCCTGCCAGCACGAAGCAAAACGTGTCTATACCGGGTACGTTCGCACTGAACGCCAATATTAGTGTGAAAGGTGGCAACAATTAAACGGTAAACATTTACTGTGGTGAGCATTTTGTTAACTTTAATACGTTTATATGATCACATGAACAGGCACTGTGAACGATATTAAGCCGATGCTGATAACTGTCCACTAATGGATAAAAAAACAATATGCCAAGTAGCAGAACGTACATCAAAAATCGGACGATATATATTACAACTAGCACTATGTAACTGAGGACAATCGTTCTTGGCAAAGCTGAACGGGCTCGTATACGTGTCCAGTGAATCAAGTCGACTGTGTAATGAGCGCCAAACATTTGATAGGATACATTTTACGGCTGGACACTTCGCAAAGCTAGAATTTGAAGACGAAACGTATTTAGTAGTAGTAGTAGTAGTAGTACTAATACTTGGCGAACCTTCGACGATTTGGACACTTACCACGTACAAACGTGCTCCGTTCTTCATCGAGCTTTTCGCTGATGTGTTTTCTGGTGGGTACAGACGCCGGTGAGACTAATCTATCGTTAAGCTAGAAGTAACATGCCTATTCGGTTAAGTGATAAAGCTCGAAGCCAAATGCTGACTGGCTGTATGATGGTATTGTTACAAAGCAGACAATGGTTTGCTGTAAAGACGATGGCTGCTCTTCAACGTATATACGACCGCACTCGGCGGCAGCTGTACCTTAACCACTTGAATAAAAAGCTAAACTTATAGTGACGTGAGAAATCGATCTAGTGACTGATCCATAGTTGTTTTGTTGTAAAATTATTTTATCTCAAAAATATTTATAGTATTTAAACGTTGCGTTAGTATGATGCTATCAAAATTATTGAATAATGTATCCTTGTAATGAAAATAACGCCCGTATCAAGCTACAACCAAACCATGATAAAAACGAAACTCGGGAGAAAATTCTGATCCTCCTTTTAGTTCTGCTCATTCCGTAAAACGGAATAATAGAAAAATATTCTTGTTAACGTAATTCGTGCGCTTAAAGATTCGCTAGTTTCCAATGTATACCTGCATAGGAAGGTAGATAGCAGATATAAAAATTTTGTATTTGCCTTATCGATGCACTGCTAAAATGATAACTCTTGCTACAAATTTAATTACAGAATGGCTGTGCGCGCATTGCACATGACGGAATATTAGCAAATTTAATAGCAAGTAAATTGTGAGTGTAAATAGAGAGAGAGAGAGAGAGAGAGAGAGAGAGAGAGAGAGCGAAGCCAGCCCGTTGTTATTTATGCTTACAAAAATCAGAGGATTGTGCATGTAAGCAGAAACGCAAAAAATTAATGTTCTCGTTCCCTTGGCAACAGCTTTTTGAAGTGGTATATCTAGATATAATGCAAACTAGCAGTTTACTGTAGTGGATGGACATTACGAGATTATATGACGACAGGAGTTTATTTCCAATGCTACTTGATCTTGAGAAAGTAAAACCGATAAGCTTATGATTTCGGTGTGCAAATACGTTTAAAAAATGAGTACTTTATAATTCGGATTGGAGAAAACTTGGCCAACAGCTTCTTTTAATAGGAATCACCTGCTATTCAAATTCTGTCAGTATCACGCATCTGGTTAGCACTCAAGTATGCATCTGGACAATCTGTATAATAGCCGATCAATAGATAATATTTAGTACATTGCATTCAAGCTGCACAGAAATAAATATTATATCATGCAAGATGTTCTTAACGTGTACGGGGTGCATTAGTTATTGAAATATGTGCATATTAAGTTGCGCACTTAAGCGTATATTTTTAATAACAAAGCCCGAGGCTTTTTGATTCCACTAATGTCTATTCCACTTCAAGCGAGTGAACAATATTATAGAAAAGACACGCATGTATGATCTAACTGAGAACGGCTGTTTAAATCTTAACGGCCCGACTTGAAATTGGGTTTCATGTTAGGTCAATAACCGGCTCTATTTGCAATTGACCTATATTCGTTACTGGTGCTGGCTATCTTTCTGATCACTTACTGGAAACAGGGAATCAATCCTTCGATTACTTCTTCCAATACGTCCAACAACGTTCTCCCTACTTAAGTTGGGCGCTGAGAGTGGCTGAAGCGAGCCGTGAAATGAAAATGTCTGTGAACTGCGGCTAGGCTCGGGCACATGATGATGGTGTCGATGATTATTAGAAGGTCCTTGAGTTTTGTGACCTTTTTGTAGGGTCCTTTTAAGTGCTTCGGCACGAGGCAGGTATGTACCGGCACTTTCTGAATCGAACGCTGGTGGCGGAAAGGCTGTAGGAGGCGAACGAACTTTGTGGTTGCTAAGGTAGCTTGGCGTAGTTTGTCGGGGGGGTGTTTGGTACTGTGAGTAAAACGGTGGCAAAGCTGTTATACTTGATCCTTTTCCTGTAGATGTTGACAGTTTTTTACTGTTATGCAGAGAATCGTTAGGCAATTGCGTCTGGGATGACAGTTGCCGAGTTTGGTTTTTTGGACGTCTCGTCCTTGGATATTTCGCAGAATGTTGATGTATTGGTCTACGAGTCGTTTCAAGGTGGGCTGTGGTGGAAGTGGAATAGCTTGTGGTTGGTCTTACAGAAGCAAACGTTTCTGGTTGATTCTCTTGGAAGGAGGGATGGATCTGATCCCGTATACTGTTAACGCGTTGTGGTAGTTCTATGCTTTTCGATAGACTTGCAGATACTGCTATGGGTTTTTTGTCAGATTTTCGGGATAATTGTTTTTTGGAAGATGCACTTAATACGATGGGTACAGATGTTCTCTTAATCGATACGTCTTCGTTAGCTGACGTAAAGGAATCGGTATCATCTGCCGAGCTTCCCATACGACTTTGTATTTGGGCACCAAGGAAATCCGGCTTAGCAATAGCATTCGGGGGTAAGCCCTGTGTAAAGTCAACTTTATATGGTGGTCCCGGTGACTTTGATGGTTCAATCTTCCCACTGTTAGACGATATGTCTGATAGAACAGCAGGTGAAGCCAGCACCGTTTTCTTTGTTGTCGAACTAGATTCATAAAATGATTGACCATAGTCATCGAATTCCACATTACCAGCATTGCCTGCAAGCACGTCACTCGCGGCGGTAATTCCAAAGTTTTGTGGCACCAGAATGGCGATCATACCCGCAGGCACGACCACTTTGGACTCTTTGTCTGTTCTTAGCACTTGGATATCATTGGTTTTGTCATGACCTGATGCCATTGATGAGATCTTTCGACTATCATCTATGCCGGCATTCCAATGAGGCGTATCTTTGGATCCTTCCCAGGAGTTCTTGGTAGCACCGCTTAAGGCAATTACCAATCGATGTTTGTTAGCCTGCTGAGGAATTCTATTGTTGTTATTATTATAATGATTATTTTGGTGATTATGACTATACACGTTGTTGCCGTTTCGACTGAAGTGATTGTAATTATTTTGGCTGCTGCTGCTGCTGTCGGAATTATGAACGTTACTATTGCTCTGCATACTGTTACTCTGGAAAACGTTTACGCTGTGTATGCGTTGCTTAGCGTTTTGCAACTCGAGAAGGCTTCCATAGTCAGATCCAAAGTTAGGTCCAGACTGTTCCAGGGTGCTCGAATGTCCATGCAAGCCACCGCTGCTAATGGAAAAGGGATTTCTTAGGTTATTGAAGTTTTTGACGTTACTGTGAAAGTGCGGTGAACTTGAGCTTTTTTTCGTTGTTAACAGTGGTAAATTCCAGTCGTCACTCAAATCGCCACTCTGCTGAAAATCACATAATAATCAAAATAGTATAAGACGGATTATTATGCTTAAAAAAAACATCTCTCTGCAAATAAGGGAATAATAGGAATTTGAGAGCAATTTGATTGGTGAAATCAATTTTAGAAATACATTAACTCACTCGAATGAAAAAAATTTTATGGCTAGGTTTAAAGCCGTGATAAAATGTCTAAGTTATTTGATTTGTTTGTTTGTTGTTAAGTTTAATTTGTAAAAAACCTCAAGTTTTTAACTATTATGTATGAAACTGCGATAACCGCTATATAGAGTTGTCTTTATTCATAAGACAAAGACGTCACTTAAAAGAGGTAACTAACTGCTAAAATATTGCTTAACAACGTCTGAGAGTAATTACTGCCTTTTACTCGATTATGGGCTGCAATAGTACTATGTTTATTATTATGCCCAATATCGATCGGCGGAAAAGCTTAGACAGCTGCAAAGACATTGGCTAAAAACTCAACCAGGTTGAAGCCCTACGCCACGGCATACACGCACTGCGCAAAATAAGATTAATGAACGTGAACTTTCAACGTTTAGGGGGTACTCCCTTACGAAAACCAAACATCGTAAAAATTAAAAAAAAAAAAACAAGAAATTGACACTGACGAACGTTTCGAGTTGATCTACCCAAATCAATATATAATGGTAAAAGTATAAACTTACGTGTTCACTATTAAAGATATTATTATTTAAGGTGGAAGAAGTAAGCGTGCTTCGTAGCTTATTGATTATGTCGGGTTGGTTTGGGTCTAGTTCGGAGATGATATACGTGTTCCGTCCATCTGCGAGCGGCTTCTCTTCGGCAATAAACTGCTTAGGCGAATTCTTAACTATACCCTGCAGATTAACAGTAGACACACAATTATGGGCAACGTAAGTTGTTACACTATAGGAAAGTTACTTGCTAGTTTAGTTTCAAACTGTTTCATGGGATGACATCTTTCGAAGCGATTATTCAATAAATGGACCGCATAAACTAATTTAAAACATGTGACCGTTGTTCTTAATAAGGGCACATTAAAGTTTTGAAGGTATTGATCTGTCATAGTTATAAATCGACAGCGTTCGTGTAGCACAGCGTACTAGTTTATCGTCACAGGTTTCAATGAAGTGATGCAAAATGCATTTTGTTGAATTTTGAATAGGACAAAAACACTTATGCTGACAAACGCAATACGCAATACAAAAAAACTGATACGATAATATCAGAAATTGAATAGTTTTATTATATTTAATAAGTTAAACAAGTACACAGTCCCAGTCCCAGTCCCAGGATAATACTTTCTGCCTAATGCTTCTGAATTCGAGGTACAATTCCATGGGACCCAGATCAGTTTTGGTTGGTTGGTGACGAAATTACGGAAAATGACAAAGAAAACTGCTATTATAAAAATGTTTGCTACGAATAAAACAGAGGCTCCTCTGCAGTAATTATGCGCAAAATAAATGCAGTCTGCCTTTGCATAGATGAAACATTTTTTTATGAACTTTTTCGACTGGAGTCAAAGACCAATACTATAATTCCGTGCACGTTAAGTGAAGCTCAAACAGGTTAAGCAATATCTATGCACTGCAGCGAACCAGTCTAATAGTTCGCGTGACTTGTTTGCAAATATGCCGCTAAATCTTTTGCCTGAAGTAAGAGTGTTGGGCTATAACTTGTAGCCACCATATCTTATACCTAACCATCTTGAGTTCGATGTCGTTGCCAGCAAGTTGTTTGATATGCGAAGCTATAATCAGTTGCCCTTTAATTTTAAAGTTGCTAAGTTACAGTTCGTACATTGCCCTGAATACACTCATATGAAAAGCACTTGAATTTCTTCTTTCTTTCTGTTAAGCATCCGTTTCTGGTAATTGGTCTTAATTTCAAGTAAAACGCTTAGTGCCCCCAACTCATGTCATTCACGCATTTATTTTATTAATTGAATTATGGTTCCCGGAACATCCGTCCAACAGTCCAAGGACGCCTTCAAGTGTTTTCAGAAAAAAGGCTAAAATGGGTCTCTAACAGAACTATGGAGAGAGCAGCAAAACAAATCGGAAGCTTGAATCCGCTTGTTTCGATATAAAACGGTTGATATTAGAAAGACGCACTGGGTGTTTAGAATTATAGTCTGCTCCCAAAATTCCATGGTTTTCAAAGTAATTAAATGGTATTTTTACAAACGTCTTTATATAATAACACGTATGGGAAGTTCAAGTTTGATAATTATTTTTCAAATTGGGGGCAAGTTTTTTAGTGCTTGCTTGTTTTGGAACGAAATACTAAGAGCATTTCTTCATGACCTCCCTTACATCAGTCATCATACTTTTTTTTACTTAATTAGGTTTTAGTTAATAGGATCTATGGTGTGGCATCTTCGATTAATGGCTCGTACACCTATTTGTTAATTTCATGCACAGATTTAACATAGTTCTTCAATCAAGGCTGTCTTACTGGCGGCGGTAGTCTCGTTGGTTGGAAGCCTCGTATAGGGCTCGGGGGCATTCGGACAACTGTTGGCCTTCCTGCGATCTGACGATGCGATCCAAAGAAACGACGTCGTTCAGACCCTCGACGAGGGGGAATATTAATAATCTGTATCTGAAGTGGAGAGAAAAAAGATTCAGAGGCAAGTTAGCTTCATTTTTTTTGACATATTCTCAAATCAGTACTTATGAAAGGCATTATAGCTAACGTAACCTGCGGAACAATATTATGAGAATACTCTATGGCAGGTTTCGTAGTACATTTGCATGCAGCTGAAAGTAACTGTTCTTCTCTGTGATATGATGATATATTGTTATTGTTTCAGATTGTTTTGAAGATGTTGTATCAAATCAAATTCGAACATCTCTATTAAGCCAAAAAGGAAGTTAATGTACGTAATTGATAATGATAATAATCACAGTAAATTCAAATAAAACATCGCTTAAAATATATTACACCAAAAGACTGGTACATGAACCTCATGCCCAATCTTTTTGTGTTGCTTGAAATCGTCAGCTATACATGAATGTGTACATAATTCAACGATAATAATTTACTACTTGAAAGTAAGTAAAAATTGCCTAAAAATAAGATTTTAGGGAGAGGGTAGCTCCCGGTTTCCTACAATATATACGCTTGGCCTTATAAAATTTACTAAAGCTTCACGTTACCTCAGTGGCGTCATTAAATGGGCTTGGAGCTGATACTGGTGAGCCTTTATATTTATTGCCGTTATGATATTCTACGAACTTTCTGGTTCGATCGCCACTAAAACTATGACGATTATGTGGTTCCTCGTATAATCTTTCATCGTCGTTTGCTGTGTGACTACGCTCCACGCCAGTGTATGGGCGGAAGACGACCACTCGCAGATTGTTCTGCGATTCTAGTTCGGGCAATTTGCTTGAGCTTAATTTGCCACCTATTAAATAAAATCAGCAGTAACTAATTAGACCCTTGACCTATGACTATAGACGCTAGATTAATGACAGAGTGGAAAGTGGTGCACCCTCGATACAAATAAGCTGACCAAAATGGAGATAACCACATATAAACTGACCATATGAAGGAAAAAGAAGCGATGTTTATTATTGGAAGGGGTACGTTCAGTAATGAGGCACAACAGTAACGACTGCAATGATATATATAATATGGGCAATTTTGATAAGCCTTACTATTATGCTTTATGAAGAAAAAAGCATGTGGTCTGATTTTAGCACGAGCTATTACTGTTAATCAGAAGTGTGTTAGAGAAGGATGCAGACCATAATTTATTTGAGCATGGAATTTTAACAGCAATCCATTCACTAAAAAAATATTGACATATCGACATTTACGGGTAAGTATTAATAGCGACTTATGTATTACAACATTAAGGCAGGAAGGAGTCGAAAGTTCAAAAAGGCAACATTGCCACTGCCAATCAACCTGCAAAGTATGGTGTCCTCTTGGAATGACCCGAGCCGTGACGGTGTGATGATATTATCGAAGCAAATGACGGCGGCCCACCAGTCGTAAACTGCCCTCTTGCAAATGCAGCCGGATCACGCGCCCAAATTGGCGGCCCCGTATACTAAAACCAAACCCAGAAAAGTAACCCTTTTTTTTATAGCGATCCCATATATAAACAAAGTGGATTAGCTATCATTTTATCGTGGAAAATCCTTGTCAGTAGTGGTCTAGACTGAATGACTTTCAAAGTCCGCATGGTCAGAGATAACCTACAACGCTCGCTGCTTGATTATTATTTAGGAAACCATCTATTTTGAGCGTATTGCTGTTAGGCCGGTTATTTTCGGAAGATTGAGGCGTATAATGCTTTTATACGTTGCTGCCGGAGTGTTAAGATTAGATTCACATGGTTATGGTAGTGTGCTACAAAAAATTTATATGACCAATAAGATCAGTCCCTTAGGGAAGTACTTGCCTTTTTATCTATTGCTTATTTTTTTTTCCAATTTATCATCTGCAAATGATAAAGCATTTTGTATAACTGGAAAAGTCTTTCGTTGCTTCATAAGTACGTTGTCGTTGTTTCGTTTAGATTACAATTTGTTTTATCAGATTTTTTTAACCTTGTGCATTTAAACGTGTGTACAGTTCCTCAAAAGACGACAGATCTGACATTTCAACGAATAAATTACAAGAAAAGATTTAAACAGCCTGGAGAGATCAGACACTAAGTTAAAACAGATCAAAAAGTAAAAAACAAACTAGGAATTTCTTTAAAAGAAAGCTCTAGAATGCTAAAAAACAAAAATAAAAGTACCAAATGTCACAGTTACAATCTTCTATTTGTTTCTTTAATTTCTCTTTATCCTCAATATATTTTCTGAGTGAAGGACAGAGTAGTCCACTCAAATAAGCTGAAGTAGTTACACGGCAAGTGCAACTTTTTCAGTACTTATTAACGCTGTAGTTCAAATGGCTATTTTTTTAAACCTCGTAAATCGCTATTTAAGCGGACTAAATTTCAATGTTAAAGTGTAACTACTTCCTTATTGGGAAAAGAAACTATAGCAGGCTACGGACACTAATACACTTATCTCTATACATTTAGTTTCTCTAACAACACTCGAGGATCGACTTGAAAACTGAATGTACGTTGTATTGTTACCTTGAACATGGGCACTGCTCCCCGACCTTTTAAAGCCGTAAAAGGTAGCGGCGAAAAAGAAAATGAAACGGGTGGTACGTCAGAACCTCTCGGCAATTTCACAACTGATGTTGACAGAGGTTGAAGTGACGGCATTGAAGGGCTCGAGGGGAAAGTACCAATAGATGGATTTAGATTTGATGACCCTACCTTCGGTAAAACAGCGTTGTCACCAGCACTATTATTTGAAGGCTTTCGACTGGAATTGGGAAATTACGTAAAATACCGCATGAAAAAGTTTCTTAAACATACTGAAAATAGTGAAAGATGGTTTCGATATTAGATTTCGTAGGCAGTTAAATAGTTTCACTGCTTAATCAAGACTGAGTTATATTTGGATTGCCTTAAAAGATTAATGACAAGATCATCCAAAGCAAATAATATGATCGGTTCTCCTAAATTATCATTGTTATTATTATTATTATTACAACTATTTTGAAATGGATCTTTATTTGACACTTTAGTTATTCGTAGGGCATTATATTTATGCTAAATAAGTAAGAAATTAAATAACACTAGTTGGCTTTATTATTATAAAATCATCTTTTTCCTTACCTGCTACTAAATCTTTTAAAAATTGCAGGTTTTTTCAGTGCTGGAATACGTATAGTGTATTCGGTTTTGTTCTTCGCATCAAATAGAACGGAAGCTTCGCACGTGATTTCCAAACAGATCTCAAACAGCGCGATAGCTACTAAGGCTGTAGACAAAGTACTCAGATATTGGCCTATGTAGTGCTGGTAACGGTTGCATGATCTGCTTATCTTCTTTTGCCTACATTGCGACTCCATTTCGAGGACAAAGGTGCGGGCAGAAGGCACTCAATTCTACCAGGAGTTCCACTGTATCGCATATATGATCCTGCCCTAGAAGAGGTGAGTGCCTGAAATACCATACTTTTTTATTAGAAAAAGTCCTTTGGGTGTGAGGTCACGCTGATGATGAATTAAGACTTTTTTAGTCTTCAGATGTATTTTGCAAAAGAAACTTGGCTTAGGGTTAAGAAAAGAAATACGGTCCAGGTTAACTCTGCTTGCAGACCCAAGCTAGATGCAAAAGGATATGGCTTAAAATAGACTCTATGACTAATGTGCTAGCATAGAGAGAAATTTTAGGCACCCTGTGTGAATTAAACAAGCTAGCGGCGATTAGCCTATGAAGGTGTTTGCACGTTAACTAACGTTGCGAACTCTTACGTGGAAACTTGAAAGGAAGTTTGTTATCAAACAGTTTGTTACATCAAATATTCAATACTATATCTTCTATACGAGTTAATTATGAAAAACAATAAACAATTCGTGTGAAATGGAAACTGTACTTAACAAAAAAAATTAACCATTAATTAAATATTAACATTTATAGAAGGTTGCAGGTATGATTTTAATCTCGATCAACCGGGCTTTAAAACGTCGAAAATCGTGACTAATCTGGCAACGCCCTATTGGGGAAGTTGACATTGGCAAGCTCATTGCTTCGACGAACCGTCATAAATTGTCCGTCGTAAAATAAATAAAACACACATCATTCAGGCCCACAGCTGTTACCAACGGAGCCGATTATGGCTAGAACGTGCTTGTGTGCGTAATGTTTAGAGATAAATCCATTTTACTGGACGACGCAAAGCCATACAACAACATAACGTATTCGAAATGGGTCTTTCGCGATCTAGGCAGTTCTCACAACTTTCAGATATCGCGGGCCTCCATTCGATCCTCTCATCTAAAAATACGGTGACACCGAACAAGTCTTTCATACTCTAATCTCTTCTATTTTTACAAGCATATACTATATAGAAAAGATGAAATGGAACATGCCCGAAAACTCTCCCTATTAATTTTCAAGCATCATATTTTGCTTTTTTGATAGGCGAACCCTTATTTTTATGTTGTGGTTAATAACTCAATTAGTATATTAGAAATATTTATTGTTTTATAACAGTTGACTTACGCACATTTTAAAGACGATACAGAGACGTCATTTACGCATCGTTTTCATTGACCTACTACAAACGCTGATGGATGAAATAGTTGGTCCTTCGTATATCAATCCAACGGTACCTAATCTATCTTTTACAAAATTTCTAACGGCACAGAATACAAGTTGCTTAATGAAATGTTCGCTAAGGATCTCCTCCAGACAAGCGAGTACAAAACCAAATCCACAAAACAGCAGTGATGGATAAGGAACGCGATAAACGATTTTCATATTAAAGAAATGTCGTATGTATATAACTTAGGACAAGGGACGCTAAACATGCTATATCTCAAGGTGTTCAGGATCGGTTCATTTCAGTTATAATCGTCTATAGGCGTAAAATATCTGTAATAACTTAATGGATAATATATTTGTAAGCTAATTTTAATCTAGACACGTGCTGGTCTAGGTTCGAATGTGGCCATAGACATGCTTCGCTTTGGAGCCAACCCTTTGATGGGATGCTTAACGGCGATGCCGAACGTAAAACACTCAAATTATTCTATGGCCTTACAGACCTCTAAAAGATGAGCAAACCCGTCAGTAGACATGCCTCCTGTTGTATTAGCAAGTATTTATATACCTTACTAGCAGAAACATGTACCAAAACGATGTCGGAGTATACAATTAAGCTTTATATTCTGCTGCACAAGTATTACAGAACCTAGTGACACATTTGAGGTCGCTATTTGATATACATGCATGCTGTATCCCGTGTCAGGCGTTGCAGCACGCGGGAAGGGGCTTGACAGCTAAACGCCACTACCAACGTTGGGTATTTGTCTACGAGAAAGGCAGCGTATGATATAGCCGGGTGTAACGTCTAAGAACGGAACTTACCAAAATACTCCAATTTACACTAAAGTAATAAATATGACTCTGTTCTCTTTCGTAACTTTCAAGTACGGTTGCTTTCGGATTTTGACATCTATGCAGAATACCACGTAAGCTGTCCTCCAGGCAGTACATCTTGAGCTTGCGTATGTTATCCTGGAAAATACTTGAATTTGCTGACAACAGACAAGGCCTAATGGTAATCAGTTAGGCTTTCCTGTCTTTAAGATTGTTCAATTCGCACTGGTGGTCTTCGTTTCTTAAAACTGAAGTACTGAAGTGTATATATACATATATAACATGCTCTTAATTTTTGCTTCTTAAAGATACTTTTGTGTATGATTGTATACATCGGTGTTGCTTTAATTAATATTGTTGTGCATTTAAAAGTACTTTGATCCGGCCTTTAATAGATATTCTTATGAAAAGGTAATAAAAAGCATGATTTTTCAAGTGCTTACTCTTTGCTCTACGTGTTAAATTCAAACGTACTTCTGAGCTTTTAAAGAATGTAAAAATCTGTAGAAAAACAGACTCGCATCTGTGCTAAAGTTACGCGTGAACAGTCGCACCAGTGCGTGTTCACGCGTAACTTTATTTTAAATTAAGTCCGCGAAATCATTCTTAAGGTGGTCCAATTGGAAGCTAATGTCCAGAACAGTTTGCTGTAGATCTTCATTGCTCTCGATGTTCGAGCGTTCTCATGGATCTAATGATTAGCTTCTGCGATCTCGTTCGGCTTGTAGACTTTTCCCGGACTACAAAGCTAACTAAAATTGCCTCGTATTTTCACCCGACGCCAGAAACGGACGCCGGCCCCCCTTTGTTCAGCTGTTTCTTTGTTCATTATGCTTCAGAGACCATTGGGCACAGTCGGCAGGGAGGTGAATATTGTTTGGCTCATTTTAGCAACAAGTATGTAGATGTATAAATACAGTCTGCCTATAGAGACTCGCTGCTCAGATTCAACGATACTGCAGATATGCCACACACGTGAGACTAAGAATTGATTCGACTCAGTCTGATCTGGTCTCTGATATCAAGGAAGGCGCTCAAATCTGTGTATTTAAGTGTGTACCAATCAAAGCAGTTATCATTATTACCACATCATAAAGTTTTTAACATCATCTTTTCCGTCACTCAAACTAATATTCGGATAGCTAAATAATTTTATCCTAACAGTTTTAGTTGAAATTTCAGTCAAACATTCTTTAACAGCGAGAACTGCTCGTATTTTGCTCTAAGCAACGATTCACGAAGTCAATAAACTCGGGATATTTTTAATGTATAAGGGGCGGAAAGTAAATTAAGTAACCTATTCCTTTTTTGGATTCCTAGAAACCGGTTTTTGAAGTCGTTATATATGGACCCTAGGCTTACACTAGTTGGCCGAAAATGTGGAACTTCCACACACTAAACGTCAGTCGTACATTTTTTCCCCTTCATCCACTGGAATCAGCGAAATACTTATGTCAACGAAATAAGATTGTGATTTATATTATTCATTCGCACACACGCCAAACGGTGGGCGACTGCTACTGCTGGTCTATAGAATGACCCCTTTTTTTTCTCAAGCGCTTATTTTAGAGAGAATGCGTGAAGACGGAAGATACTAACAAATTTTGCTGAGTCTTGTTTTTGATGAGTTCTTATTTAGTCTCTATTGAAATTAGAGCTTCGTTTTTTGGACAAATTTAAAAAGAAAAGAAATTGTTGCATTCAACTGTTGCAGAGACTATCGTATGTTGGCTTCTAACTATAGGCAAGTTTATTTTGTTACATTTTTGAAAATTGTATTGATAACTTAACAGCCTATTGTGGCGCTTGACGGCGTCACACTTAATGATTGTGCTTAATGCCTTGGCCAATACAATAATAAAGGGTACACACTTGATTGCATGCTCAGAACTTTCACCGATGATAAGATTACTAACCTAAAAAAAGTGTTTGTAAGTGTAAGAAACTATATATCAGTGTATTTCATTTAATGTGATACATTATAACAAGTTGTGTCTTAAGATAATAGGATGATAACGAGTTTCTAGGAAGAAAAAAAAAACAACTCACTAAACATCCAAGCAATTGCGTGACTGTTTTTTCGGAAAAGGTAATATCGGTCTTTTTAAGGTAAATGGTTCAGATGTTGTATTGAACTTCTAAATATAATTTCGAAAACAGATGCGCCAAAACTGAAAATTATAGCGCTATTGTTCTTAAAAAAAACGCTCCGGTACGTCACGTTATTCCCCTATTCTTACGTGAAATTGTACGCTTTCACAGGAATCTTTCAACTCAACTTTTCAATGTAGATTTATTCTTCTCAAAACCGAATTTATTCTTCAAAGAGCAATATACACAACAGTTTCTCGCTGCATCGCCTTATGACATAAAATAGATAGGCTTAAAATAGGCTGCGCTTAATTTTTTACTGAAATAAATCTTTTTTTTTACTTCAAATCAGCTTTTACGATAAGATTTATTTATTTTTATTTTAATTTATTATTATGCCCTCCGATAAGGTGGTGATAATTTTTCTCTTGCTTGCAAGCGGTATTCAGCGACCTATGGTTGAAATATACAATAGCTAAACTTAGCACATTCCCATATTGTGCGTTATATGATCACTAAACAAGGTTCATGCAGGTCTGTTATTTAACTTGTGCAAACTTAATTTGTGCAAAGGGTATGAAAGAAATAGCCCACATCGAATACTTATTCGCGTCTAGTGTACTAACAGATACAACTTAGCGGAAATCGCCACTACCCACCTGCAGCGCAGGATGCATATTATGCTGCGTCATATTAGGATGTGGTAGCTATAGTGATACTAATGGCTATCTAGGGCTTAAGGCGTGTTATAGAAGATCCCTTCTATAAAAAAACTGTCAAAAGTAGCAGAATAAAACTGCTATTTACAATTGGATTACGCTACAATAATGCCAACTGTGTTACTTATCCATATAACGAATATGTAGAAACTATTTCCTGAATAGATGCAGAGTATGATCAAACGGTTGAACATCTCAAAGTCTTCTACAGTGGGCTACGCAAAAGATCTGAAGTCGTTTTGACAAT